AAAGTAGTTGGACTTACTTGTATCAATAGGTTTGCATTTTTCATAATAAATACGATGAACAGAAATCTTAGAAAGTTCTCATATTTACTCTAATGTTTTCAGAGTACCTTAAAATTTCTTCAATTTGACAGAGATAAATCCTATGTCAGTAAAAGTATTTTAAGGGGATGAAAATATATAAAAGGGAATGAGTTTACAGTGTGAGGAGAAATTTACTCAGTTAAACTACCTGTGATGAAATGCTTTTAGTAATAGCGGATGTATTTCCAAGTTTAACTGGAGCTCCTTCTTCTATACATTTAGAAAACTATCTAATGATGACTCCAACACATTCCTTTGTGCAGCACAGACCCATGACTTACTAAAGTGACTACATATATTCTTGGAGACTATTTTCTTACATCAAAACAAACTTCTTATTATAAAAACTAGTTTAAATATACATTAAACTTGCATTTCTTGATACATAATTATCTATACTAAAATAGTTGTTTTAGATAACAAAATGACTGAGAATTGTTGCCTTGCATATGGAAGCCACTTCACAGATAATATAATGACTGTTATCTTGTATAGAGAAGCCACTTCATGGATAATATAATGACTGTTATCTTGTATAGGGAAGTCACTTCACAAATAATATAATGACTGTTATCTTGTATAGGGAAGTCACTTCATGGATAATATAATGACTGTTATCTTGCATAGAGAAGCCACTTCACAAATAATATAATGACTGTTATCTTGTATAGGGAAGTCACTTCACAAATAATATAATGACTGTTATCTTGTATAGGGAAGCCACTTCACAGATAATATAATGACTTATCTTGTATAGAGAAGCCACTTCACAGATAATATAATGACTGTTATCTTGTATAGGGAAGCCACTTCACAGATAATATAATGACTGTTATCTTGTATAGGGAAGTCACTTCACAAATAATATAATGACTGTTATCTTGTATAGGGAAGCCACTTCACAGATAATATAATGACTGTTATCTTATATAGGGAAGTCACTTCACTGATAATATAATGACTGTTATCTTGTATAGGGAAGCCACTTCACAGATAATATAATGACTGTTATCTTGTATAGAGAAGCCATTTCACAGATAATATAATGACTGTTATCTTGTATAGGGAAGTCACTTCACTGATAATATAATGACTTATCTTGTATCTTGTATAGGGTAGTCACTTCACAGATAACATAATGACTGTTATCTTGTATAGGGAAGTCACTTCACAGACAACATAATGACTGTTATCTTGTATAGAGAAGCCAATTTATGTAACAAAATATATATAACCACAAATAATCAAAAGTTTTACTAAATTAATCTTAATTGCTGTAGGGGAAAACATGTTAATTGATAACTAACACAAAAAACATCAAGACTAACCTCCAATCATGAAGGCTTGTAGGAAACACTCTTCCCGATTTTGTGGTGATTAAAGACCCATCAAGATCAAAACCAGCTATCTTACGAGAAGAAAAATAATACATGTGATTTATACATGTATATCATTATGTGTACAAAATATATATAAATAAATATACATGTATATCATTATGTGTACGAAATATATATAAATAAATATACATGTATATCATTATGTGTATGATATATATATAAACATACATGTATATCATTATGTGTATAATGTATATATAAACATACATGTATATCATTATGTGTACAATATATATATAAATAAATATACATGTATATCATTATGTGTATGAATATATATAAATAAATATACATGTATATCATTATGTGTACAATATATATATATAAATATACATGTATATCATTATGTGTACAATATATATATAAACATACATGTATATCATTATGTGTACAATATATATATAAATATACATGTATATCATTATGTGTGATATATATATATATATATATATATAACCATGTATTTCAACTTTTATTTTTTATAATATTCAAAGTGGGTGTATTCAAATAAAACACAGTATGTTACTTCTTTTATTTGAAAAAAAACATTATAAATATAACATCTTATTTAATATATAAACTTTAATTAAACCAACATAATGAATATGATGGTATTTCTAGCTTATTAAGGATGTTGAGATACTACAGAATGACTTGGATCAACCAGACAAAGATTTGCCAGGTGATCTAAATTACAGAAGTATCAGATAATGAATGCATTTGTAATCCACTTGATAATGTGATTGAAGAGAAGGATTTTGACATAGTGGTGGATAAGTTACTCAAGCTGTTGAAGAAAGTTAATATATTTTTAGGATGCATTTATAGACATATTGATCACAAATCAAAAGAGGAAATTCTCTCATTACACAAGTCACTAGTTAGGCCTCAACTGAAATAATGTGTACAGTTTGGGTTTCCTTATCTTAGAAAGGATACTGACATTTGTGGAAGTAGCTAGAATGATTCCACAAATGGAAAAGCTACTTTATATGAATAGGTTAAGACCTCAGTTTATTTGCCCTTCAGAAAAAAATGGTAAGAGATGATCTTACAAAAGCTTACAAGATTAAGTGGGGTATCAAACAAATAAAAAGCTCTCATTTCTTTGTACTGTATTCTAAAGATAATATGACAAGATGACACAAGTTTAAGGAAACAAGCTAGGCTTCCAGTTAAGACAGTTTTATTTTCTTACATGGTGATTGATTTATGGAATAAGTTACCATCAGCACTTTATCATAACACAATATATTAACAATAAGAGACTTCATGGTCCTTCATTGCTGTCCTTGCCCTTGGGAAAAGTTAAACTTTACACCCATTTTTCATGTTTCACGAAATCTTTGATTCCCTTCTTAAGTTCCATTAAATTGATGGCATCCATTACTGATGATAGCAACTTATTCCATAAGTCAATCACACTGTTAGAAAAAATAATGATGTCTTAACTGGAGCTTAGCCTGTCTTTCCCAAATCTTAAGTTTGTGTCCTCTTATCCTATTATCTTCAAAATATAGCACAAAGAAATTAGAGGCCTTTGTCCAATCAACCATCAATCTCTCATATAATCTTGTAAAATCACATGAATAATAAAAGGTGAGTTTTATTTGTTCACAAGGGTGAGCAAGCAGGGACAGCCTTGATGAACTAAATTGTCCCTTTTTATTCATGTGACATTCTGATAACTAATTAGTGTAAGAAACGAAGGAAGTAGAATAATATGTCAACCACACTATATCTGATGAGGCCTTTCGCTCATCAGGATACAACAGACACAGTAGTGGTTGAGATGATATTTATATTATCAAACTGCATGGACAACAACAGTTATGATGTAAACTAGATTAAGCTGGTGAAGTGTATACTATTTCATAGTATTTCTGATTGATGAAACTGAAATCTTTTATATTTGGGCCATTATCATACATCATTAAAGTTGAATTACTTGTAAAATTAACAAAATACTCTTTAGATTATAATTTTTTTGAAACTTGGGTTGTAATTGAGATCTTGTTTATATAACATGGCTAGCCTAAATAAAAGGTAAGAGACAGATATACATATATCTATATTAAACATTCATTTGAACAATCATAACCAATCCTACCGACAAACGTCTTCAATTAAATCCTTACTTTTTCTCTTGGCTCAATACCCTTCCCTGTAAAGATTAAAAGCTCTCCATTATTCACTTCTTTCCAAGGGTTAGAAGAGTCATGTTCCTGATCGTTTACTTCCGAGGGCTTAGAAATATTTACAAAACGTTTCTTCTTTAGAGAAGTTGATGAAGATTCCATGTCTTTTTGCATTTGTTCAAGACGAGATTTGACATCTTGTATGTGGTCCTCATCATCACCATCTTGTTGAACTAAACTGTTATCTTCACCATCTACACTACCTGTAGTTACATTAAATTAGTGAAAAGACAAAACAAAAAACATCGATGAAAATTATAATATTGATCTACTCTGATCTTTGAAAATATCTGATAGAAAAATTAAACTTAGATTATTTAAGCCATGTTTCCATCTCTGATAGAAAAACTAAACTTAGATTATTTAAGCCATGTTTCCATCTCTGATAGAAAAACTAAACTTAGATTATTTAAGCCATGTTGCCATCTCTGTTTAGTGGTGACTTTTAAAAGTGTAATAATCACAGACTGTATTGTAATAACAGAGTAAAGAATAATAATTTATGTTGTCAACTGGGTTCTAAAGTAACTGAACCAGCCTGTGTGGATTTTTGATTTAAAATAGAACTATTTCAAGCTCTGGATACAACTGTGGCAACCAACAGTTATAATGGTAATTTTAAAATGACTATCACAGAGTAGAGGAGAATAACTTGTCTTGTCAATTGTGTTCTAAAGTAAATGAACCCACCTGTGTGAGCTTTGATGAAAAAGATACAATTATTTAAAGCTCTGGATACAACTTTTATAACCAACAATGTAATGAAATTTTGTACATACATTTGACTTGTGTTGAATATAATATTTTAAAACAAGTGAATTGTGTGCTGTCCATTTATTGTTGAAATATATCACCATCAAGTCACAGACACCTACTGTAAAGAATCCTGCCAATACACATAAATAAAAACCTGACACTAAACACAACAGCTCACCTGAATCAAGTTTTCTTTTTCTTCCACTCAGCCTTGGACATTCATCTTCAGTTTGCTCACTTTTTCTTTTATTTGGACTTCCTTCATTTTTAGTGGTAAAAAAATCTTTAAGAGTGCCAGTTTTATTACTGCCTTTTGACATTTTAACATCCTTGAGACTCTCAAGCTCCACTTTCTTATTTCTTGGTGATCGCCTCATAAATACAATGGTATATGGAAGGATACCTTTCAAAAGAAATATTGTCTTTCCTTCTGTGAGCTCAAGTCTGCTGTTAATATGGTATAACTTACCCTCTACCTCACAAGGGTTAGCTCCCAGGTGTGTCAGAGTCACAGTAGCTTGTGAATAGTTTGCTTGAACCTGCACTATAAAAAAACACAGTTTTATTTATATTACAAACATCATAAGCAACAAGTGGGAATCGTGAATCACAAGAGGCCAGTCAGTCCATCTAGGTTACCTATAAACCTCCCAAAAACATTAAATGTATTCTTTTCTGTTTAAGAAATAACCTGACTTACAAAACAATTCAAACCACTGACCTCAATGCACTAAATCCTTCAACAACTACATCATGAAGTAATTAGATCTGGTTGTAAAAACTAAAGAGTTAAAAATGGTAAAGCTTTTGGACCAGACAAGTGAAAGATCAAACAGTTGAGCTTCTATCTTTCAATTTGGGTAGGGAAATATAGGATTGGAGAGTTACTAATGATAATTATATTTCTCCAAAGGGGTCATAAGAGTTTTCCTGGAAATCATAAGCCAGTTACTCTTACTTCTATAATGGGAATAATTCTAGTATTATAAAAAATTACAAAATTATTTTGTGACATATGATATCACAAAAGAGAACCAACATTGATTTAGAATCTTCCTCTGTTAATCTGTGAAGTTTTCTTGAAGATGTTTGTGTATGTATAATTATCTGGAGAATGGACAGGGTGTAGATTTGGTGTACTTAGACTTTTACAAAGCTTTTAATAAAGTGCCACACAGAAGATCAGCTAAGAAAATCACATTGGTCAGTAATGGAGAAATACCAGTTAACTGTATTGTAGGGTATTTGAATGGAAGAAAGCAAAAAGTTGTTCTTAATGTAGTCCAGTAAAACTGGACCTTAGCTACTAGTGGAGTGACTCAGTGGTCAGCACTTGGACCTTTCTTTTTCCTATATACATTAATTACACTGATAGAGCATAATTACTAGATTAGTACAGTTTGTCACTGACATTAAACTCCGGTATTTCTAGCTGCACTGAAGATGGACTTGGATCAAATGATAAACTAGACAAATAATTGACAAATGATCTTTAATTAAAGTAAAACAGAGGATGCATAAATTTTGTTATCATTAGTGGTTGCAATGTTGGAAAAAATAACAACTGTGTACCAAATAAAAATCCCCAACATTAAAGCAAGTTTTAAAATCGCACTGTAATATAAACAACCTTGATATTTATAATGTCTTACATACCTCCTATTCTGCCAACATGAATAGCTACAAAAGTGATCTTTGATTATGTATTTAGGTATGAAGAAAACTTAATTTCAGGTGTAAAATGAACAACTTTTTTACATAATGTTTTTAGTTTTTGAAGTGTTGGGATTCATCTTCAATTTCAGGTACTTCAGTAGTGCTCTAGTATACTCAGGAAGCACTACAGCCCTGTTTATCATAATTTGGACCACACATCTAGTACAAATGGAAACCCACTCAACAGCATGACTGAAAATAGGATCTTGGCATAGTTATGGCTAAGTCACTCAAGCTATTGAGGTAGTGCTCTGTTGCTAGTAGTTAAGCTAAAGGATTTTACGTCTAGATTTCAAGTTAAAAGAGATAATCTCTTATTAAATACTGTGTACAGTTTTGTATCCTAATCTAAGAAAGACTATTGACTTATCGGAAAGGGTTCTGAAAAGGGTTAATCTAAGAAAGGCTATTAACTTATCGGAAAGGGCTCTGAAGAGGGTTATTAGGATGATGCCAGAGATAGAAGGATTATCTTAAAAGGATGGATTAAGATCTTTCATTTCCTCTTGAGAAAAGAAGGCAGAAACTAATCTTAATAAGGTTTACAAGATTATTTAGTAGGTTGATGAAATAAAGGCCCATATCTTATTTCTGCTATATTCTAAAGACAAGTGGACATGAGTTTAAGATTTAGAAAAGATGAGCCTGTCTCCAATTACAACAGGTTTAAACATCAAAAACTGGTGAAGCATTAGAAACCAATTTGTGATAATAATCATGCAAACTGTGGATGTTTCTTTTTCCACATTTCTCTTAATTTGTCCATCTTGGACTCAAATGGAGCCTTGTTGTATGTACTGTTTTGTTATTTTCAATTTCACTTTAAATATTACCAATAAACCTACTCATCTCATGTCCCCAAATTCTATTACAAATAATTTTTATATTACTATGGAAGTTTATTTAAAGTGTATAGTAAAAACGTTTAAAGACGTTATTAAAACTTAGTTTAAGAAACATATAATTAGGACACTTACACATTTATCAAACATTGTTTCACAACCCATTTACACGGGATTCATCTCGTACAACGTCACTTTCTTACGTTTAAACCAGTTTACTTTCTGATCCACATAAAATGCTGATAATTTTTCTCATTTAATCCTTGCATTCTTCCCAGGTTCTTTAAAAGTTTTGAAATAAAGCTTATTAAAAACTGTATATTTACTCTTAAGAACTTTCCAAGTTTATTCACAATAACTTTTGAGAAAGGTTTTCACACATTTATATAATTTGAATGGACAGTAAATCTCATTTTCCTTATAAAACATATCCTATAATAGAAAAATTACACTTTAGATATGTTCCTTTTCTCAAAAAAACAAAAAATAACACCTTCAAATGGTAGTATAAGCACAAGTTTTTGGTGATATCAGTGATAAAATTGATGGTGCACAGCATTGAAAGCTGTAGTGATGGTAAAATGATATCCATATTCCTTGTTTCTTATTATATCTCTTTGATCCTTATGAAGAAAGGTCGGCCTTTCAAATGTTCTGATTACTCTTAAAGACTTTTGTACTTTTGTCTTTAAACTGTAATAGTCTAAAAAACGTGACATCTAGTTTTTAAGATGATTCAGATTAGGTCATCAAGGCATTAATACACCAGGTTTAGATTTTATTTAATAAATTATGTTTTCTTCTAGCTCTCTTAGTTAATGTTATTAATATTAATTAACATAGATTATTACTTACGAAACTGACTGACATATACTAGTAGTAGTACAAAATTCTACTGGTACTAGTAGTAGTTGTCTGGCCTACCAAACTAAAAACAAAAAACAATTGCTTACTTTTTTTAAGCCGACATGAAATCTAAACTTTCATTTTCAACTAAAATAATCTAATTTTAACTCCTGCGATGTAGGTTAGGGAATGATATACCTTGTTTCTTTGAGCACCGTTTCTCTTTCACTTTTGTAACTGGCCCCCTTCCTACTATAACTGGTTTGCCATCCTGTAGTGTAACGTCCAATACTCCTTCACTAAAACTCTTAAGTACACATCCTATGATATCACATTTATCAAGGTCAGCTGACATTATCAATAGATAAAAATCGAGCGTGTAATCTCTACGTACAAGTAACTTAAAATGTTTGCAGTTATTGCCATAGCAATACCTAGACAAGTTATAACTCCTTCCTAGAACTTTGTAGAAGGAACCACGTGTGTAACACTCATCAGCCCTCTATAAAAAGTTATAATAGTGTATTTACTACATAAAAAATATTGATGGAGTACCATCCTTATCCCGTATTATTTTACGTTTGTATATGTGTTAATAGTTGTGAAATTGTATAAATAAAAATTCTACTAAAATATATTTGAATTGAGATTTTCAAATAAAAACGAGTATACTATCAAGCTAAGTATTAGATTTCTACAATTTGAAAACCTCTTTAGTAAAACTACAGTAGCTTTCATATCAATAATACCACTTTGAATTAAACACATTTCAAACTGTTGTAAATGTGAATTTATCTAGTAAGAAAATAAAAATATCTTCTAATCCAAAATAAAAAAGTGATTTCCACAAATTGTTGTATTTTATCTTCTGATAACGTGCGTCAGTTCACGATATTTGTTTTCTTGTTGTCTTTTCAATATACATTTCAAATGGTTTCATATGTAATTGGATCATTATTTTTTCGTATCATTGCGGAAAGTCACGTGAACAAATAATCAAAAACCAATACGAATCCAAAAGATTGAGTTTTAGTTTCCTCTTTTGTTCATATTTATTATATAGATGGGTCACTAGGATATATTAAAATAGTAATTCAGGTGACAACCACAGCAAGTCTGAAGTCGCCTTGGAACGGTATATATTACAAGTATATTTTGACATTGCTGGTGTTACGTAAGTATTATGATGCCACCGAAAATTGATCGGTTTTGGGAAGGAGGGGAAGGGTTCGTAACAGCCCTTTCCAACGCAAAATATTCATACACTCAGAACATAAATATGTGTTCAGATCGGGTATTTAGAATTTACAAGATAGGGATATCCCTTGTACTGAAAGAAAATGATAAATAAATGAATATCAATCAACTTGGTGAGCCCGGACTATCTAAAAAGAGACTTGCAACAAGTAGTACCCCAGCCATACTATCTAAAGCGCAGTGTCTTGTAACAGGTGATAATCTACGAATACAGTGGTTAGTGGCAAAAGACATCCACTTGTCCCAGACAACAGTATGCAATATAACCAAGAAAGATCTCCATCTGAAAAAATGATACAAGTCACATATACACAAATTCATCCATCCCATACCTTAACCTACTAGAGAATGAAACGAGTATTCAAGTTATTCCACGCAAAGACATTCTGGCCAAGTCGCTGGATGCAGTGCCTATAGATTTCTGTGTGATCATAATGGAAATATAGAACAGAAAATATAAATAACTCACGAAGTCTGCAGTCTTAATAAATCTCCATCTTTTCTGCTTATATAGCATCAAGTGGCTAAAGGTAGAACTGTATTGGAAAATCACCAAGAAATTATCTTCAAGTACTTTTTTCTTTGAACTATATTCAAGTTCAAGAGAATTTCCCAGAATGCCATTCCACCTACTTTAGTGGATGAACTCGATATTCATGAAGAGAAACCACCGTTTTCTGTGGCTCTGTCTCTGCTTATTTCCAGTATATATACTAAACATAATGAAAACGTACTTACTCACTTTTATAGGGTACTAACCACAAACAGAGACAAGAACGCATGCACCATTTGAGACCATGAGTAATTACTCTGGAGCAGGATTAAGCATAACTGGGTGCATCTTGTTAATATAAATGTTTATCTAAACACAACAAGGTATAAGATTTAAAAATTAAATACCTGAATAAATTGATATTCCTTTTCTAAGTTACCAAAGAGCTGCAACCACAATATTACCATATTGCATACTTTCTTCCCAAGCTTTAAATCAGCCTTTTATTGTACAGAAAACCCTATGTTGAGTTTGGTTTGTTTTGAATTTCGCTCAAAGCTACACCAAGGTTATCTGCGCTAGTCTTCTCTAATATAGCAGCGATAGACTAGAGGGAAGGCAACTAGTCAACACCACCAATCAACAATTCTTGGGCTACTCTTTAACCAATAAATAGTGGGATTGAGCGTCACATTATGACGCCCGCACAGCTGAAAGGGCGAACATGTGACGGAGATTCGAACCCGCGACTCTCAGGTTGCGAATCGAGGCCTTAATCACCAGGCCATGCCAAGCGTCCTCTGTTAATTCCTAACTAAGCTAAGGTGAAAAGTGCTAATAGAATTGTTTGATTTAATAACAGAAAGCCTGGACATAAAATAGGACCAAAATGGTCTGTATTACATTTTGAAACAAATGTGTACAAATATGGTGAAAAAAAAACATGTTATATCCTTATATAATCATAAGTCCTATGAAGGATGTGCTGTCCCATATAATAGAACGGGTAGGCAAAATATGAGAATGTATTGTATGCTATAATAGCCATTTAAAACAAACATTAATTTTTATAATTTGTTCACAATTCATATATACTTAACATTTAGTCATTTACAAAACGATTCTTACTCTCACTGCGATGTTCTCAACCCTGCTTCAAGCATATACTACTTGTGGGATGTGAAAATGGAAAGGATAGTATTATCTGGAAACTTATGCAGAACTGGGTCCCTATTTCAGTCATATTTCCAAGAAAACGTTTATCGAAGAAAATTATGTCCAAAACAACAGTAATCCAGGTCAAAAGACTTAAACTCGATAAGGGAAGGCACTGCATTTTCCACCATATGTTCTCATTTTGATATATGTTTTTGCATCTACAAAGTTTCATTTGATCAAGTTTCCTGAGAAGAATGTGGTTAGAACTCACGACAAATAAAGATTTTCATATGTACAGTATTTTCTGTAAGTATAGCATTTGTGTTATACAGCAGAATATTTCAAGTTAGATATTGTCATTCTCCTCGCACATAAGTGTATAATGGCATGGCCTTTATGACTAGTAACATATATTCAATGTTATCTACTACAGTTTCTCACCATACTTTGTAGATGAAGTACATCCATTTATAGTGTTAGTGGTAGCAAGAGCAATATGAAGCTGCCATTGCAGAATGAAGTTTGTCAATTAAAGCTAACTCCCCACCAGGTGGGACAACCAACAACTAGGGCACAGGAACCTTCTTGACAGGAAAGGAACCAAAGGTATTCTCGAAGCTCTAGAACAATTGGGACAACACAATGGTGATGACACATCTATCTACTGGTATAATGTGAGAATTATGCATTCGTATATATGCTGGAGCCTCCAAGTACCAAGACAACTAGTACTTTGATGACGTTAATGCCTCAGCAATGAGTCAGTTTGGTAACCAATTGTGGAACTTTGTTTTTACTGTTGCATTTCAGTGGAATTTACATAAGCCAAACAAATATATCCTGTATACCATTAAAGGTGATGTTGAAGATTATTTGGACAATTTTTCAAAGTGATTCAGGTAAGTAATTATCCGTATCACTTAAATCAATGATTGATACTACATTTGGAGAATCCAGCATCTGGCACTATTGAGCATTTGAATGAAGAGTAACTGCTGAATATGACATAGCTATGGCTTAGTTCCACAAGCTAGATAACAAAAGCATTCATTGGACTCAGTTGAAAGTTTGAAAACATGACCTTTGTAATACACAGACTAACTGTAACACCCACGTAAGAAAGCGTTTCTTGAAGGATAGTAGCTTTAGATTATGAAGATATAATCATTGGTAAGCTTGTTAAGGATTTGCCAATTAAACCATAGAGCAATTTATGGGTGTCAGAAATATTTTATCCTTAACTGAAGAAATTTCAGCGGGTAATAATGCTGCCAAAGAGGAGAAATCTAGTAGCTGTAGCTGTAGTGACTCAATCTCTGCTTCAATGTTATTGAGTAATGCCAATATGTCATAATACTTGTGACTGAGATACTGCTCTACTGTTGCAATCATCATCAGGTGTTGGGGTAGAGCAGAACTGTTTATGAGTAAATAGACAGGGTTTTTCCAACGCTTGCTATCATAGCTGCATCACTACTGAAGCAGGAAGGTCCCATCAATTGATGATCTAAATAAGAGGGAGGGATCATCTGTTTTAAATGTGGACTCGCTAGGAAATGGAGAAGAAATTGTACATATCCTCTCATGCAACAATAAAACTAGCAGATGTATTTCTGGCTAACTGTCAGTTAATAGTATAAGAATTGAAGACAAGCATTAACTGTTGTAATTTTGTATAGATTAAAGTAGAGGAACACAGATTGAATTTGGACACCACTGTGGAAGGCCATGGCAGTCTTTTTGTGTGAAGTCATTGTAGTCAATTCAGTTCTTAAAGACATGAACATGGCCTGGCATTTAGCAGTGAAAATATATAAATGTGAAGCTGAGGTTATGGTTGCCCTTGTGGAATATTAGGCTGAGGTTATGGCTGTCCTTGTGGAATATTAGGCACTATGGGCAAAGCCAATATCTTGAACTGACTTTATTCTCACTAATGTAGATAAGCAGGAGTTAGGTGAGTAAACATGACTATCACCAATGTTGTCGATTTGTGGCTTACCACAATCCCAGTCTTAAACATTACCACAAGCTGCTTCAGTGATGGAACACACACTGTAAATACACAGTTTTCTGTTTAAAACCAATCTGCAGTTACTTGGACATTTATCCCTCTAAAAAACTAGATTTATTATGGACATATTACTGTTAAGTTACCAGTTAGAATGGTTGTAGGCACGATGGGTGAAGAAGTAACTTAAACTAGCCATATAGTTGGTGTTAGTTCAGTGACACCCCACACCGATAAAATGGCTGCCAGAACAACTGAGATTGTTCAGTGAAGATGGTGTAGACAATCTTAATGTAGACGATGGGTATTAACAAGAATTTAATGAGCTGATGGCAAAGGTCACAAACTTGATTTAGCGTGATGTTAGGAATGGGTCATCATATGGTATTACCAAGTTCACTGATATCCCCCCTCCGAGTAACTAGGTAGGAACCATAGTATAAATGGATGTTCACCAGAAAATATATTGCAAAGTAGAAATCTTGACTTTATTTGACTTTGATTGAGTTTCATAGAAAGAAATAGACTAGACACAAGTTTGCACACAG